GGTAGCATCCCATCAAAGCATAAAACCACAGGAGAGTTGGGTTGCAAGGTATCCTATAGCCCCATTAGTTATTTTCATTGTGCAAGGATGGTGAACCCTGCATTGGATGGAAAAATTAAGCTCAAATTATGAAGAGCTGGTAACAATTCCTATAGCAAAATAAGCCATATTTCTATGCTTTGTCATATAAAAAGGATACAAACAAAGTAGTAGGTGCAGTGGTGAAGAACACAGGCTTTGACACTCTGCGGACGTGGGTTCTAGTCTTAGCTCTGCCATTAACACTCTGTATCCCAGTGCAAATTATATAACCTCTTAGGGCCTGCCTTCCCTCATCTGTACAATGGGCATACTACGTAGAGTTGTGAAGAATAAAGGAGATGATGCACGTTAAGTACTTTGCCAGTGCCAGGCATGACAGCACTTCACAAGTAGGAGCAGTTGTCAATGGTTGTTATTTAAATATAAGAGCATCGGTGGTTCAGTTGTGGAATTCCTACCTTCCATGCAGGAGACCCAGGTTCAATTCTGGCCAATGCACCTCATGCACAGCCACCACCTGTCTATCATTGGAGGCTTGCGTGTCGCTATGGTGTTGAACAAGTTGCAGTGGAGCTTTCAGGCTAAGACAGACTAGGAAGAAAGGCCTGGCGATGATCTACTTCCAAAAATCAGACAATGAAAACCCTATGGATCACAACAGTCCAATCCACAACCAATCATGGGGATGGAGCAGGACTGGGCAGTGTTTCATTCTATTCTGAGTGGAGTCGCCACAATTCAAGGGCAATTGGATAGCAGCTAACAATAAAAACAGCATTTAAATATGAGACAGTGTTTCTTTCTCACTCTGAAATGTAAGCACAAACATGTGGTAATGGCTCTACATTGAACTTTGACTCTGATTGGGATTCTATTGGTCAACATAAAAAACCAAAAACCAAACCCCTTGCCAAGTCGATTCTGACTCATAGTGATCCTATACGACAGAGTAGAACTGCCCTATAGGGTTTCCAAGGAGTGGCTGGTGGATTCATTCCAAGGAGTGGCTGGTGGATTCGTTCCAAGAAGTGGCTGGTGGATTCAAACTGCCAACCTTTTGGTTAGCAGCCAAGCTCTTAACCAAAATGCCACCAGGGCTCCAGTCAACATAAAGTACATATAAAACTCTCCTATTTCAGGCTGCTGAGAATCTTGAAATCCCGGCTTCCTAAGTGGGACATCAGTGAACTGAAATTGTTTGATAAGATCAAGCAACCCTTCAGACTACCTGTAACATGGAAGAAAGTTAGGCATTTTAAACTAGACAGCCTAGCTGCTAGATAATTTAAAACATGGATAGTTGGTTCTACCCCTTAACTTCTTACAAATCAAAATCAAACTTGCGGTTCACATCGTGCCCAATGCCGACCATGGATGAATGGTTGAGAAGCAACTGCTTGAAGCTGAATTTTTCATGAAGTAGAAGAGATAAAGATGACAGAATCTGTTGTGGGCTATCAAGACAACATTTTCTTTCGCAAAGATGTTTACAATCCCAATGCATCCGCTTATTCAACAGCCACCTCTTTCCTCTCAGGCGAACTCAAGTCTGCTTAGTAAACTGTTTTGTGCAGACTTCGCAACTCTTTTCCTTTGATGTGGGCCTTGCAGAAGTGTGGTCTCTCTTTGACCCTCTTGTACCCCCAGGCTTCCGTATCTGCTGCAGTCCCTGGTAACAACAGCAGTCCCTGGTAACAACAGAGCTTGGCATTAACTGTGAGTTTAGATGCTCACTGTGCCAGAGGCAAAGAATTTTCCTGAGAGACCTTGGTCCTCCATCTTTCCAGCAGTGACTTGCAAAGTTTAATTTGCCTAAGAATCACCTGGGATACTCTTTAAAACTGCAAATTCCATGACATCCCCCTCCCTTTCCCATCTTGTGGGTCTGGGGTAGGGTTCTGGACTTTGTAATTTTTATAAGCATCAGTTGTTCTGATATAGGTGGTTATTGGAAGAGGCTTGGAAAAATGTTATTTTATAAGTATCACAAGGATTCCTAATTTATAAAATTTGTGATCATAAACAAAAGGTATAGAAGATAAATATATCCATAGCCTGAATTGGTTCACATATATTATCAGATATCCTACTGACTGTGTCTTTAACTTCTTTTTCCTGATCTATTTAGCAGTAGAGTAAGAACAACAAAACGGCCAATAGTAATACTAACAAAAAGCCCAACCCATTGCCGTCGAGTAGATACTGACTCATAGCAACCCTATAGGGCAGAGAAGAACTGCCCCATAGGGTTTCCAATGAGTGGCTGGTGGATTTGAACTGACGACCTTTTGGTTAGCAGCCTGAGCTCTTAACCACTGTGCCACAAGGGCCTTTAAAAGAGGCTACTGCTTTTCAAGCAGAGATGCAGGCACTACATGGAGTAAAAGCTTGGCCTTTGGGGGGAACTGGTGGTGATGGCATTTACTACTACCTGACCTTGAGCCACTATTTCCTAACTGATAAAATGGAGATAGTATTTACTTCATGGGATTGTCCTAGGGACTTAGCAAATACACAAGCCTGTCCCAGTGCCCTAGCACATACTAGACACTCCCTGCTAGTTCCCTCCTCAGTCTCTCCCCAACAAAGGCAGTAAAAAAAAAAAAAAAAAAATCCATTGCTGTTGAGTCAATTCCTACTCATAGCGACCCCATGTGTTACAGGGTAGAACTGCTCCATAGGGTTTTCGTGGCTGTAATCTTTAAGGAAGGAGCCCTGGTGGTGCAGTGGATAAGCAATCGATTGCTAACTGAAAGGTCAGTGGTTCAAACCGCCAGCTGCTCTGCGGGAGAAAGATGTGGCAGTCTGCTTCCGTAAAGATTACAGTCTTGGAAACCCTATGGGCCAGTTCTCTGTCCTGCAGGGTCACTGTGAGTTGGAATCGACTGGACAGCTGTGGGTTTTGGTTTAATCCTTACAAAGGCTGATCGCCAGGCCTTTCTTCATGGTGCCACGAGGTGGATCCGAACTACTAACCTTTAGGTTTGTAGTTGAGCACAGGAGCAGTTGAAGGATGCACTGTCTCTGTACTGTACACTCAGGACCATTTACCTTCCAGCTTTTCACCAATGTTCTGTGCTTGGCCCACCATCTATCTGTCTGTCATACTATGGTGACTTGCATGTTGCTGTGATGCTGGAAGCTATACTACCAGTATTTTAAATACCAGCAGGCCCACTCATGATGGACAGGTTTCAGCGGAGCTTCCATACTGAGACAGACTAGGAAGAAAGGCCTGGCAATCTGCTTTTGAACACTAGTCAATGAAAACCCTGTAGATCACAACAGAACATTGTCCATACAGTGCTGAAGGCGAACCCCCTAGGTTGGAAGGCACTCACAATACACAGTGGGCTTCACAACTGTGAAGATGGTGCAGAACCAGGCAGTGTTTAGTTCTGTTGTACACAAGGTCACCATGATTGGGAGCTGACTCAACGGCAACCAACAACACCAACATCAACAACTGTACTTGGCAGGTTTAGAAATATGTTCAGTCCCCATGAACTTCTCCACATTAACTGAGCTCACAGTCACTACCTTTTACCTGAAACATGAGATCGTAGAATATAATTTCTAAGGTAAAAGGAAGACAGACCGAACCAGTGTCCTGTACAGTAGAGCTACTACCGATGAGTCAGAGCCATAAAGAAGAGAGTGTTTCATCACACTGACGGGTGGATTTTCTGTGCCATCTGGAGATGAGGAACAGAGAATAACCAACTAGACTCACAACACTGCCTCTTCCCTGCACGCAGGACCAAAGAGACACTGGCACATTCTTACCTTCCAACTCCTTTTCATTCTAACTACGTGAAGACCATCAACTCTAAAAAAAAGCACTGCTTGTCCAGATATTCTATACTGCTTGCTGAAGGGAAGGACGTATGATTTAGATACCAGATCTGAAGGGGGCAGGGATGGCATTCTTTTGAGGAATTTTAAGGCTTGAAATTATGTCCTTGTTCATAGAAGAGCAAACCAGTATTGGTATACACACAGGGAGAGAGAAACAGTCAACCTTTTTCTCAGAAAATATTCTGACAAGTGAATTTATGTGAGCACTTGGTTAGGATCCAAAGCTTTGTGTCATTCAAGGACAAAGTGACTTTAGCCTAAAATATTTCTTAAAACTAATATTATCTGGTGACTACTATTTCCATAGGAGTTCCTCTGTGTGAGCACCATGGAAATGGCTTGTTTTTGTTTTTTTTTTTTAAAAAAAAAAAAAAAAAAAAACTATATCCATAAATAGCTGAGGACTTGGTCTGGTGAGTGAGATCATATAATATTCACCACTTAAATGTTCTTGACCTTACATAAGGATTGATTCCTGAAAATTTTCCTGGAGGTAAAGGGATCATTTAAAAATAAGCAATGTATCACTCTTCTAATGAAAGAATGAACCAATAAAATAAATAAAACTGCCCTAATCTAAAATCACAAAAATTTATCTTCTTTTAAGCATGAAGAAAAAGGGGGAAAAAAATCTCTAAGCCAAGTATTTTTCATGGAAGATGACATTTAAATCAGAAATCACTTAACAATGGATTGGCCTGAAATTTAAAATGCATTATCTGGGATTAATGGCTAGCACATTCACATGTACCTAGAGCAGAGTGATCACATTTCACTTTTCCTTTTAAACTAATTTCATGTGACAGGAGAGTGTTCGAAACCCACGTTCTGTTCCGAACTCCTGTTTGCATTCACTGAAAATATCTGCAAAGCGGATTCTTAAATTCTGTTTATTTTTCTGAAATAACTGAAGATTTTTTGAAGGAGACTACCAGTACTTCACAAAACACTGTGATTAACAAGGGTGAAGCTTCTAAAATGAAACTTTAAGGCACAATTTCAATTGGGTAGTAGTGAAAGATATGATAAGAACTTGTTCATTTGCATTAATTGAACAGCCATTGAACGTCATTAATTTTTCTTGAGAAATAACTGCACAGCCTGTTGAATCAGAAGGAAATTGAACTGAAAATCAAGAACTTTCTATTCTTGACCATTTTTCTTGTTTGTTTTGTTTTCTATTTCTAGTCAAAATGGTTGTTGTTTGTTTTCTCAGTCTTACTTTTATGACCAATCCTAGTTACTTTTTCTCTCCATATCTGGGTTTTTGTCACATAACAAAATGGGGATATTAATTCTCAGCAATACTGGGAAGATGAATGAACAAATAAAGGACTGGGAAACTTGTTATGGTCAGTGTGAACCAGAGCCTCAGTCACGTTTCAGATCAATGCTCTTTTCAAAATAAGTTGAGTTATGAAAGATTATATGTATATGTTCTAAGCATCTTGAATTTTACCATCAGTGAAACAAGCCCAGATCTCTAACCTGGCCAACGTGCAGAGGAAAGCTTCGTATTATGCCCTGTATCCAACGTTTGTCTGTCAGTTTCTCATACTATGGTAGCTTGTGTGTTGCTATGATGCAGGAAGCGATGCCACCAGAATATCAAATACCAGCAGGGTCACCCATCAGAGCTTCCAGACTAAGACAGACTAGGAGGATGACATGCTAGGCCTGGCTATCTACTTCCAAAAATTAGCCAGTGAAAACCTTATGGATCACAGCAGAATATTGTCCAACAGACTGCTAGAAGATAAGCACCTCAGGTTGGAAGGCACTGAAAATGTACACAGTGGACTCAGGCATACCAATAATCATGAAGAAGATGCAAGCAACGTTTTGTTTTGTTGTATATGGGGTCTTCATGAGTTGGAGCCAACGCGACAAAAACTAATAATAGCAAAATACCCTGTATGGAGCAGAGGTCCAAGACGTAGACCTAAGAAAGGGTTTTCTTGCTTTTAACTCTGGCTGACATGTCACTGAGTGCTAAAGATCTATTAGGGAATGACTATGCTGGCTACCACTTTGAATTAATTTAGCTGTCAGACAACTCTGGTTGGGTGTTGTTCTTTAACCTTTCTTACCTGAGTTATTGCCATGAACAAGATCAATGTAACCCTCAGTCTTGGTGGGTATTTAAAGGAGAAATGTGTAATGAAGAATCAGGAATATTTCAGATGAATGTCTTACCTGTGCCTAAATCTGTGTATTGAACAGATATTACACATCTAGACTAAGAATTAAAATCAAGAAACATCTGATGGAGAAAGGTATCAAATAAGTTACATTCTTACAGTCCTTCACTTCATTTGTTTCTTGATTCCATGGCTGAATATTCTAGTTCATCGTAAACTCTGTTTATAGGTAATACACTCTCCACCTGTGTTCAGCTGCATTCTGACCTCGGCGTCACCTCAGCTGTGCCTCGCCATCTTAGTTATGGTCACTGACCTTTTGTCTAACCTAGGTAAAGTCCTCTTCCCTTCCTAGTCATATCCAGAGATAGTCCTCTAACTGATCCAACTGTTCTCAAAGTACACTCCAAAACCTGTTGCTGTCGATTCAATTCCGACTCATAGCAACACTATAGGACAGAGCACAACTGCCCCATAGGGTTTCCAAGGAGTGGCTGGTGGATTTGAACTGCTGACCTTTTGGTTAGCAGCCGAGCTCTTAACCACTGTGCCACCAGGAAACCCTTAAAATAAATATGGGGAAAGTTTTGAAAATAGTAGTAGTGTGTTCTTTTTCTCCTTTACATGGTAATTCTCAAGCCCTGTTTTAAAAAATTGCCACAAAACTGCATAGGGTTCCCTTTCTTTTTTTGCCGGGAAGTGGAGGAAGATGGTGGGGTGTGTATGTACCCATGAATGTCTGTCTTTGATTCTTTATTTTGCTTAATGTTATGTAACCAAAGAACAAGTTCAAAAGGTATCGTCTTTTATTTAAAGATTATAAAAACCTACATCGATAGGGGGAAATTATACTTGATAACGAAATAGTATAAAAATGCAGAGAATGAAACCGACTTGAGGACACTCTCATATCCAATTTAATCTACATACTCACACACCTGGACACCCCGCTGTGAATTTAATATTATTGTCCATATTTTACAGAGCAGAAAACTGAGTCTCACAATAGGTGATGCATACAAAGTCACAGAGCTAGTAAGTGAAGAAACTTGGATTTGAAACCAGAATTTTCTAGCACCATTTATCCTTTTCCACTTAACCAAGCTGTTTTCTCCTCTCTATGGAGCTTTATAATGATAATAACCCAACTATCATTTATTAAGAATCTTCTATGTACTGTGTGGAGTCCCTGGGTAATGCAAACAGTTAGCATGCTCGGCTGCTAACTGAAAGTTTGGAAGTTCGAAGTCCCCCAGATAAGCCTCGGAAGAAAAGCCTGGCAATCTACCTCCAAAAAATCAGTCATTGAGAACCCTGTGGAGCACAGTTCTACTCTAACACATATGAGGTTGCTATGAGTTGGAGTCAACTCAATGGCAACTGGTTTGATTTTTTTGATTTATGGACTGTGTACCTTACATATATTATCATAAAATCTTTTGCTACTCTAAGATATGGAGTTGCTATCATCACTATTTTACACTTGAGGAAACTCAGACTCAAAAAGCTCGGGCAACTTGGCCAAGCTAAGAAGCAGCAGAGCCAGGACTCAGACACTGATAGATGTGTTTCCAGAGGCCAAGTGCTTCTTCTAACTAGCCCTGTCGCCTCACACTCTGTGAACAAATAATGTTCCATTGTTGAATGATGCACCATTTTTCAAAATTTATGATCATATTGCCTATGAGAGACGTGTCCCCTTCCTCAATCCTCCCACCATCCACCACCACTTTTCAAACATCGCACCACCCCGCCAGCCTGCATTTTTTGCTTAGATAACCAACAGATTCTCACCACCATTACAGGGAAAATATAACACAGCACACAGTAAAGCAAACTCATAAACTATTTATGTAAATTGATTTAGTTTAGAGCAAGTTTATATACATAAATGATTCGTGCTTAGCAAGAGTTGGATTCCGAAATGAAGATGCAAAGCGTGGGGCAAAAAGAAGTGCTGGATGCTCTAACCATCCCCATGTAGAAATTAAGTTCACACTTGGGTCTAGAGGCACAGACAGGTATAACCACCTGGTGCCCTCTCATAGCACAAGGGTGTCATACCTCCACCATGAACCTTCTTAGTTTAGTCCTTTCTCTAAAGCAGATCACTTCTCTTCTGTAAATTTTTCCACAGAGAAAAACAAGAAATAAGTCAGCATTGCAAAGGGTATGGAAGAAATACAAAGCCTAGCCCCTACCCTCAAGGATCTTACAATCTATGTCTCCTAGACGTTTGTTAGAGTCCTGCTTACATAAGCTTTCCTCTAGCCAGTGTGGCAAAATGGAAGATGCAATGGCCGGGGAGTCAGAAAACTTGGGTTCAAGCCTGGGTTTACAATACCCTGAATGATCTGGGCAAGTCACTGGGCCTCTCGGCATCACAGCATCCTCATCTGTAACGTGGGGCTATTATTTGCCTGTCTACCTCCAAAGATTGTAGTAATTGAAGCAGAAACTGCTGACTCTCCGTGTAGAGGATTTTATAGTTAACAAAGCATTATTTGCGTACATTATCTCATTGGAAGAGCACATCAACATTGTCAGTTAAGTATAATTATAATTATTACCATTTTGTGAGATAGTCTTTGCAAACAGGAAAAAAAAAACCAAACCTGTTGCTGTCGAGTCCGATGCATAGCAACCCTATAGGACAGAGTAGAACTGCCCCATAGGATTTCCAAGGCTGTGAATATTTACAGAAGCAGACTGCCACATCTTTCACCCGTGGAGTGGCTGGTGGGTTTGAACTGCTGACCTTTCAGTTAATAGCCGAGTGCTTAACCACTGTGCCACCAGGACTTCTTGCAGACAGAAGGGTACCACGTAAATACTTCTACTGTGAAAAGAAATCAATGGTTTCAAAGGCAGCACAAAGAAGATTGTTAGCATATGTGATCCTTACTTCAGGTGAAGGGAAAAACCATAAAAAATAAGTAATTAAGAGTAAGTACGTCACTGTCTAGTTTAAATTAAATGGCTCATTGCACGAAGTGCCAAGCCAAGAATGCTAGTGGGCAGAGACCCAGCTTGCACTTGGCTCTCTTGGACATGTGCCCTGGTGCCACGTATCTTATTCTAAATTGCGCCAAAGAGCCATATGGGCTAGTGGGGGCCTCAGTTAATGCGTCAAGAAAGAATTATTTATGTAATAGCCATGGATGCAAATAAAGTTCTGTGTCCTCCACTCTACAGTATGATCTTTTTCTCTTAAAAATTGCTCTGATTACATCAGTCTGGATAAGCTAGGTAATGCAGCAGTAACAAACCACCCCAAGATCTTGAAGGTGTATCATAACAAAGATTTATTTCTCACTCAAGCTACACGTCCATACCATGTGGGCTGTTGCTCATCTCCACATCTCATACTCCAGAACCCAGGGTGATGGTGTAGCCACCATCTTGAACATTGCCAATTGCCCAGGTAGAGGAGTCAAAGGGCTCCAGAAGGTCTCACACAAGCAATTAAAGGCTGTGGCCTGGAAGTGACACACCCATAACTTCACTCCCAACTCATCGGTAACCGAACCACAAGGGAGCCAGGAAGCACAGTCCTACCATGCGCCTGAAAGTGGGGAGAAGCAGGGATGTTTTGCAGGTAGTACTAATGACCACTGCACTTACATTCATTGTGGAAACCTTTAGGGACTGATTTGCCTTCAGAAAGAGCAGCAGTACAGGTTCTGCGTTGCACAAGTGAAAGGCTGTGAAAAAATAATAAGAGCTTATTTGTGATTTTGTGGCATTGGAACGTTATTCCTATATTTTCCACCCTTAATAGAAATAAGCGTGCTTATTATTTTTCATTAATTATGTCAAGAAATATTGAAACATTAAAAAGAATAAATGTTTTTTCATAAGAAGGCTGTGTCTGAAAAACAATTAATTCTGGAAATTATTTCCTTTACATGAGAATATATGTATGTGTGTGTGTTTATAGTATACAAATGTATGTATATATTTACAGTATATAAATGTGTACATATAGTATATAAATGTATATA